TCGCTCTTAGCTTGGAGGCCATCGCTCTTAGCTTGGAGGCCATCGCTATTAGAAACAAAGAAACAAGAACAGATTGAACATGCTGATTTTCAACGGCGCCTTGACGCCCAACTTGGTGTGGACCCAGCACCACGCTTTCGGGTCATTCTGGTACTCGTCGTGATCAAAAACAAGACCTTGCTTGTAGCCCTTCTCAAAGTAATCTTTTAGACTGGCCTGGAGCAGCGGGACGCCTTCCCAAACATCTCACAACACTCCTGGGACATCTGCATGATCTTAAAAGCCTTGAACTATGAAACCCCACCGCGGCCATGAAAGGGATGTCAGCGATGCTTTGGGGAGTCCAATGGAGAGAGGTATAGGTGGTACAAGTAGAGATATCCTTGAAACAAAACCGCAAACAAGATTGAGAAGATGTAAACTTTATGTTCTGTGCATTGCAGGTTTACCGCATGACGCTGACCGGCTTTGGACTGACCCCTAAGCCACTCGGAGTCTAAAGCACCAGACAACGCTCTACGCTTGTCTTCCCTCCAGGCCCCCGGCGAAGTGCTCATCTCTTGGCACTTTGCACCTGAACCTGCAAAGTGAACGGGTGAAACTGGCTGAGGTTGCATTCAACGTGCAAGACTCAAGAACGACCAGTCAGAATAAACGCTGTGCTCCACGAGTCTTTGAGCAAGCGGATATGTCCTTTTGGAAGTATTGCTTTAGTTGTTTACTCTTGAGGTCAGAGCTATCGAAAGCTGCAAATGGGAAACTGAAAGGTTAGCATTGGAGGGAGCTCAAGTCGCGCCTCAGAGGAAGGTAAAAGTTTCGCCACGTGCCCCTCTCCCACGCTGGCTTGTGCCTGTATCGCATGGTGACATGGTGCGAGTAGTCAATTGGCAAGCAGCGGTATTGAAAGAAGCCAAACATGCTGCTTTTGGTGCCAAAACTTCAAGAGAAAGCCCTCGCTGGCCCGTTGAAGATCTTGCACATGCGAAAATCGATGCTCTCATGACTTGGTCTGGCTGACCATGACTGGCTGACCTGACCACGCTTTTGACATGTGCCTGACTCTGTTCCAGAACCTCTTCCTCCTTCGCTCCCAGGTTGGCTTCATCTTGGTGTCCTACTCAGCACGGAGCAAAAAACATGGCAAATGCATTTGACCTACATGACTGGCATTTTGTGCTGGAGTCTTCGAACAGCACAAATTGCCTGGCAGATTGCATTTCAGCAGTTGAGAGGACATAAACACCAATTGATTCTGGGTGTCTTTCTTGGGACATCCGCCGAGGTCCATACCAGCCAAACTCTCGGTCACCCGGTCACCCGTCCACCGCGGTGGAGTTACACAGTTACACCCGTCCACCGCGTCACCATGCGATGTTGGAGAAATGATTTGCACTTGTTGGAGAAGTCATAGTGACATCTGATCCGTGATCCCCAAATAGAGAGGATGGCACGGTGTCCAATACATTTTTGGTGGGGATCTACGAACTTCCATCTATTTGGAGACCACATTTTATGAAGAGATGTCGGCTTTGTTGATTTGTGGCTTTGTGCAAAGCAGTTGTTCTATCTGCGCGTCGTCAAAGCTTGTCTTCGACACACCTCTTGTGGGTGCTGAGCAAAACAAAACCTTTCCCATGCATGGTCACCAAATCTTTAACTGCTGTACCTGCACCAGCATCTCATACATCTAAGGTAGCGCGCTCCAAAATGCGCCTGCACAGGAGTACTGGTCTCGGATTCTTCTTCTCTCTCGCTGCTCGCGCCTTGCTGCTCCTTGCACTGCGTAGAGGTGGGTCTTTATTCCAAAAAGAAGAAGAGCCGGTAGACCGTAGAGCCAAAACAGGCTTAAAGAAAAGAATCAGCATGAGACCAACAAGTGGCCCTGACGACATGTATCTTGGCCTTTCTCTGAACATGCTTCGGAAATCCCTAGCTCTCTCCTGCTGATCCTCCAACTCCGCTTTCTCAGCATCACTCCCATCACTTTTCTCACCTTTCTTCACCTACCGACAGGCTCGAGTGGCTGGAATCTTCAACTCTCTGGGGCTAACAGGGTTCAGCAAACGGGTCTCTGGGTATGGGCCTCAGTTTTCTAGAGCTTGTTAATTACGGCAAACAAGCTTGGGTATCTCCAAGACTTTGACACATATCAAGTATTTTCGAGTATATACTGTTTACTGGACAATGGCTGTCAATCATTGTGTTTGGGGGACCCCAGCCGTCGAACAACCTTCAGTGGAGAGTCTGGGCTTCGTGAGCATGTCCCTTTGAAGCAAACCCTCCGTAGCCGTAGATAAACTCCTCTGCCTGCTCTGCCTGATGTCTCAAGGATATGGACAAAGGTCAGACCATGAGCTCCATGTATACAAAGACCCAAAATGATGCTCAAAAAGATTCAAGAATGAAGAGGAAAAACAACCTCAACTGACCGGTCACCGACACCGGCATCGGCTGCTGAGGACCGCCCGTCACCGGATCCTCAGCGCCTCAGGCCCCAAGAGGGCCGCGATGATCCGTCGATAGTCGTAGCCTTCGCCTCCAGTGCGTGACGCTGAGCTAAAAGCTTTGTAGTTGCTGGCGTCAAGAAAGGCAGTTCCGACAAGGAAGACAGAAGGGCAGGGGGAAAAACCATTGAACCCGCGTGCGTCCTTTCGGCGAGCAAGCATCATGATCATCGCATGATCCAAGTCTTCAAAGTGTCATGTGGTAAGTTGGTCGAATTCCCCATCGAAAAACAGTTCTTTGCCAAGGAATCGACTGGCAACAAAGCTGTGTCCAACTGTTCTTTACAACCAGCCATGTCGGTCTGTTGACAACAAAGAGGTGATCAAGTCTGGTTCGCTTCATCTGCTCCAGTTCCGCCAAGGAGCTAGTTGACGGGACATCCTCCAGCATGCCCTGAACAAAAGTGGCAACATTTGTCCGTAAAGTGGTGTTACAGGCCTGATGTTCATTCTGCAACTGCTCATGCCGCGGTGCACAAAAAGGAAGGGTCTCCTCCAGCATCTCCTCCGAGAATTGATTGCCTTGGCATTCATTCAGCGAGTCTCTCAGCAAGTCTCAGCGTGCTATGCTATACGCCACTGTGTTCTTGAATGAACATGAAACACCAAAAGGTACACAAGTGAAAAGGATGGAAAGGGAATCAAACACCATTCATTGGCTTAGAAAAAGGATGGATCCAAAAACCCACCCACCACTCCACCCACCAGGCTCTCCGGACCACCGCTCCGCATCACGTCCATGAGGGTGTGCCGGGACAGGAAGCCTCAGAGACGGAAAGCTAAGAGGTAGCCAGCAGCTGCTTAAGTTTATAGCAATGGCAATGGCCTCCAACCTAAAAACAATGGCCGGGAAGTGGGCCACTCCATGCCACCCCTCATCGGCGACCCCATCTACTCCGATGAACAGTCGTGTGACCGATGAGTAGTCGATGGGTGGGAATATGCTCGATGGGTCCGACTGGGAATCAACCTGCACCTCACCCCACACTCTGCGGAAGCTGTAAAGTAAACTGTTGTAAAAATGCGATTTGAACAAGCACCCAAACTAGCTGATGCCTAGGTGGGGAAAGCCCCACCCGGGACACCGCAGGGTGGAACGGCTGCCCAGCGTGGAGCGGTTGCCTCTGGACCGTGGCCCGACCGACTGCTTCCAGGCTGTTGATGTCCTTTTGTTTTCCCTTTAAGCCCTTTTGATTTCCTTTTGATCCCTTTTGATTTCCATTTGATTCCTTTTGAATTCCTCTTGATTTCCTTTTAATGAACCAATCGAAATGGTTGTTTTTAATTGTCATAAAAGTTATACACATAGGCCCCCATCAAAAATTTATAGGGCTGGATAACCCCACATGTTAACAACTTCACCAGACACAGGAGCGGACAATTGGTGGTTGGTGGTGGTTGGGGGTTGGGGGTTGGGGGGTTGGGGGGTTGGTTGGTTGGTTGGTTGGTTGGTTGGTTGGCTGGCTGGTTGGTTGGTTGGTTGGTTGGGTGGGTGGGTGGGTGGGTGGTTGGTTGGGTGGTTGGGTGGTTGGTGGGTGGGTGGGTTGGTTGGTTGGTTGGCGGTTGGTGACTGGTGGTTGATGGTTGGAGGACGGGAGGCGGGAGCGGGAGGAGGAGGAGGAGGCGGAGAGCGGATACAGCACAAAAAACACACGTGGGGAGCAAAACACTTCTGCGTAGGGGGGCTGCAGGGGCTCCTGCCGCAAACCTTCTACGAGCGTATTGATTCCCAACGTTGGCAGTTCCTGGACAAGCTGCATTTCTGATTGGCTCATCATCTAGAATTTTTATCCCCAAAAATCTCAATCACATGTATCCTGGCGGACTGCCACGACTGCGCTCGGAGGTTTGACAAGTGCGTGGGATTGTATATGGGTGTGCGGCGCCAATCGCCTGCTGTCGAAGCATGTTGACCTCATCGAACGCTCATAGCGTTCAATCTACGATATTGTCAGTGATGCATTGGTGAATGAATTTTCCCACGCAGGTTGGCCATCATGTTGTCTTTATCTTTGGCTACTCATGCAGTGGTGAGGCGTTCCCCAACCATCCACGTTTCAGCTGTTTCTGCAAAAGGGTCTGCATTGTTCCTTAGTTTTGCGATCGAAAACTTGTCCCACTTCTGGTCGTACATCCAATCAACGCGAGCGCTGGTATTCCTGTTTGCACCAATCAGACGCAGGAAACGTACTTGTTGTCCTGCTTACACAAATCAGATCGGTATCTGGAAAGGTTGTTTGGGGCATCGCGCAGTCTTCTAGGTCTGGCAGCATAGTTTCTGGATAATGCATCATGGTGTTGCTTCGGCCAAGAGGACCATGTCAAACAAGGCGAGGTTGAGCCACAAACTTGTCCTAGCCTCAAAATTTCCCTATGGTCACCAAGGCTATATTTGGGATGGTTCCTGTTCTTGTTTCTGAGAACAACGGCAAATTCAAGAAAACTGTGAAGGTCGAAAAAGCCAGGTCCAGCACCTCATAACTTTTTCAACCCGCAGTCCGGAGGAGGCAGTCCCAGCCTTGGGCGGATCAAGCCGTCCGGCGGGCCGACTCGGCTTCCCGCGCTCTTTGCCAACAAAACATGGCGGCATGTCTTTCCCCGATATACTGCGAAGTTTGGGCAGATGTTCCTGGTTGGCGACATGATACCGGCTTGTTCACAAAAAATACGCCAGCGTAGACCTTGGATAGCAAAAGATGTTCAGTGGGCAGCGTGGCACTCGCATTGTCATAAACATCTGGCAGTGGCAGCGGCGGCCTGCAGCGGCCTGAAGCGACACCAACTCGTAGGCTCCAAAGCTCCAACCCCGCAGCGGCACCTTGCCATGTGGCCGGCACCTTACAGCAGCACCAGCGCGCAGCCTGCAAGGTGCGAACACCCAAGCTCCACCCCAAATACGCACACTGACAAGCAACACACTGCGGCGGCACCCCGCAGCGGCACCCGCCCAAGCACCAAAGCGCACATCGCAGATGTTGGCCGGCGTGCTGCCGCAGACATTGCAGCCCACAAGCGCACTGCCATGGACATCTGAATCTGGCGCGAAAACCCTTCAGCAGCAAACTCCAGAACCAGCAACTGATCCAAAGCGCACACGGCGTGAATTTGGCAACGACATTCTTCAGCGGAACCCAAGCTCCAAAGCGCACACGGCCGCAGCAGCAACCTGGAGCGCACCTTTGCAGCGGCACCAGCGCACAGGCTCAAAGCGTAGACGGCCACACACAGCTGGCACCCTGCAGCGGCATCAGCACGCGGCAGTAGCGGCACACAGCGTCGAGGCCCCAAAGCGCACACACCCACCCACATCTTGCAGCAGCGCCCAGCAAGCGCCTCTACAGTACTTGAAGTAAGGGTAGCCATCTGGCGAACATCCTGCTCGCGACAACAAGTTAATCCTTCCTCACCGAGTCTTTGCATTCCCAGGCGCAAACGAATGAACCGCCGCGGCATCCGCCCTTCCTTGGTGCGGCCATCAAAGGCGACAAGGACACTGGATCCGTTGAGAGGGTGCCCGCCAGGTTGCGTACTGTATGCAAAGCTTGCGCGTGAGCAAGTGCGTCCAAAGATCAAATGAGAGTCTGCCAAGAAAACTTGAAACGAAGAGGACATCATTCAACAAGATCATCGCTTTCGAGAGGGGCCCATCGCTTTTTCACGTCCCAATCGCACTTTCAACCATGCTCAATATATATATATATATATATATAGATAGACAAATATATCCCAAACTTTGGCGGCGTGGCTATCGCTTTTGAAGGGCGCATAATATCGCCTTTGGATGTACTTGCGCAATTCAAAAATTCAAGACTGCTCTTTACTAAACTGGTCATCGCACGTCTTGACGGTAGCTGACTACAAGCTACAAGTCACGATATGATCACACATGTTGACTATTGATACCTGGAAACCCTCCATATGGAGTTAAGCCAACAAACACAACACTGCAGACATTTGACCTACACTTGCCCTCCCTGAGTCATCTCAGTCAACGCACTTGAAGTGCACCCTGAGCTTTCGGCGGTCGCACCTCACAGTGTCGCGCACCCAAGGCCCAGGTTCCGAGGCAGAGACAAACAATCAATACTTACAGAAAGATGTAGGGAATTGAAGAAATTTCAGACGATGAGACTCTTCAAACTGTTGTTCTGAAAAGGGTCAAGGTACCAATAAGCCCACATTTGATGCGGTCCGGGGCGTCGGCTCCACGTTCCGGTGTGGCTTCTGACGCCACAGGCTCGAAGCCTTGTGGCATTCCACACCGATCACCTGCAAGGGAGCCATCTCACCCATCTCACGCAATCCAAAAGGTTTCGAGAACCAGAACCGAATTCATATTCCGGCTCTCGTGGAATAAGCCACTACCAACCATGGTTTGAATCAAAAGCGACCTGTGAGGAATCGTTGTTGCTTGATGTTTTCACCTTAGCTTTCGCCCCGGTATGAAGCCAATTGCTTGAGAATCAGATTGGGTGAGTTTGGCATGGAAATTCCGGCTTATAGTCCCCGAAGTCGGTGCATCCCCTGGCATGGGAAAGGCATTTCTTTTTGAGCCCACCTTCAAGGTCATGGAGCTTTGCGAGGGATGAAGAGAAAAGAGACCGTCGAGCGACAACACAAATTTCTCCCTCAGTCCTGACTGCAAAATGAAAAAATCAGGACCAAACATCACTACTACCTTAATCCCGGGGGGGGGTCAAAAATGTAATTTACAATTTCGGGTGTGTCAAAATGCAGGTTTTGGAAAACAGTGAAAATTGAACATACAGGTCTGACATACCTCCATCTCGCAAGACAGGGGTCAAAATTGCAAGTTACATTTTTGACCCTCGTGTGTGTTCGTTCGGCCTGCGCGCGCTCAAAAATTGTAAGTTACATTTTTGAGGGTGAGGGTCCATGCTTCTACCTCACCCTCAAAAATGTAACTTACAATTTCCCTTTCGGTTGATCACAAGTTTGCACTGTGCCGCATTTTCCCTTGGAAGTGTTGGCATGTAGCGGCTGCGCCCGAAGATTCTGGCCAGTGGGAAAGGCAATCTAATTGTAATATTTCCTGCTGGGTACACTAGGTCAATAATATAACAGAGTGAATCTTGCTCAAGTGAAACGCAAAAAGACGCCTTTCAATTCATTCAGGACACAGTCTAAGGAGGATGTGACAGGGCGCAAACAAAAGAGGCACATTTCATAAAAGAAGCTGTTTTCTTTCATCATTTTCTTGGACAAGGGTCATTGGAGACTCTACTAAGGTAGCGCGTGCTGTGTGGGGTTTTTCCTGCGCTGTGCCTGCCTCAACATTTATTGGAGGACCTCACCAGTGCGGGAGAGGGGGAACTAATTGTAATATGGCTTTCTGGCTGTACTATGGTACACCCTGTGCAGTGTTTTCCGTTCATGTTCTGGCTTCAACATTTCTCTCACAAAACTGAAGAGTGGCAGAAGGGTGTTCTAATTGTTATGTGGACTTGTTGGTGCACTAAACACACACTGCGCGGTGCTTTTCCTGGGCTGTCCTTGCCTCAACCTTGGTTGGAGGAGAACTAATTGTAATATGGCTTTCTGGCTGTACTATGGTACACCCTGTGCAGTGTTTTTGCCTTTCATGTTCTGGCGTCAGCATTGCTCTTACGAAATTGAGTGGCAGAAGGGCGTTCTAATTGTTATGTGGACTTGTTGGTGCACTAAACACACACTGCGAAGGTGGGGAACTAATTGTAATATGGCTTTCTGGCTGTACTATGGTACACCCTGTGCAGTGTTTTCCTTTCATGTTCTCGCTTCAACATTTCTCTCACAAAATTGAAGAGTGGCGGAAGGGTGTTCTAATCGTTATGTGGACTTGTTGGTGCACTAAACACACACTGTGCGGTGCTTTTCCTGGGCTGTGCCTGCCTCAACATTTATGGGAGGACCTTACCAGTGCGGAAGGGGGGGAACTACTTGTAATATGGCTTTCTGGCTGCGCTATGGTACACCCTGCGCAGTGTTTTCCTTTCATGTTCCGGCTTCAACATTTCTCTTACGAGCTTCAATAGTCGGAGAAGAAGGTTGTAATTGCGATATGGACTTGTGGGCGCACTAAAATACATTCCGTGTAGTATTTTTCCAGGTTGCAGTGGCCTTAAACATATCTGGAAGAGAGAGGGGCTTCAGAGCTTTACCAGATACATGTCGCTTTAGAGGTATAGTTGTAAGGTTGCCATTTGTTTGCACTATACAGTGTGTGTTGCGCATGTTTTTTGTGGAAAGCATTGCTCCAACAATTTATATAAGAAGTACGGGTCGTTCAAGGATGTCTAGGGTAGAATTGTAATCTCCAGTGGCAGGGACACTATGTTTAGACAAGAGCATCGAGTCCTCCACTTTATCTCCCTTTCCCTTTCGGTTGTTCTAACTTTCGGTTGATCTCGGTTGAGCCATTTGTGCTGCACGAAAGCAAAGCGAGAATCTCCGGATTAAGTTCAATCTTGAGCTCAAGATGCCCAAGTTCATGTTCAAAGGCATGTGGAAACTGTCGAAGCAGAGAGGTTCAAAGCTATTACAAAACACACTCGTAAAACGTCGACAAGGGGGGGGAAATTGTAATTTGCTCTGTGTGGTACCCACCCATAGATTCTTACAATTTCCACCCCCCCCCTCCTTTCAAAGTCTCCAGAAGTAGGCCAAGACCTCTTTGAGGGGGGGGTCAAAAAAAGTAACATCCTCACATAGGCTACCTCAACCCTAGATCTTACAATTTTCACCCCCCCCCCTCTAGGGCTATATAATGCTATTGTTGTGAAATCGAAAATGTAAGTTACAATTTTGACCCCCCCGGGGGGTCAAGCACCGCAACGGGGTGGTGATGACCAAACCATGTCCGTCAAAAATCAGGCCGTCACCGTCCAGAACGGCGTCCACGCCTGTGGTGGCTCAGGCGCAAGGCGACACCGTCGGGGACGAACTCTGCATTCAAGCGGCGCTGTATTAAGGTTGCCCAGACCGGGGCTGCGATGAGAACACCGTTTTCGCAGCTCTCGCGTTCGACAGGTTGCCCAAAGAAAAGATTAACATCGAGGATCATGGGTCCAGATTCTTCCTGCCCTCGTCGAGTGATGAAATATTTCAGCGCGCAGCCAAGAATTGATGGATTATGTTTCCATGTCCTTCACCCTCTTTGAAATCCTGGAACCTGCTTGTTACATTGTTCAAACTCTGAGCGCTTGCTTTCTAAAACGAGTTTTGCTAGCCCTGGGTGGAAATCGGTCCGTTTGCTTTCCTTTAGATTCCTTTTGAATTCCTTTTTGTTTTCCTTTTTGTTTCCTTTCGACTTCCTATTGATTTCCCTTTCATTTCCTATTGATCCTCACTTGCTGAGTTCACCGCGCGGTACACCTTTTTCCAATTCATTCCGGTCAGCTCCAGATAGAATATACTGCAGCACACATGCAATAAACATGTGCAAAACAATATTCAAAAATATCTTCTATTTACAAGCGCAGCGTTGCAAATACACCATTTTCAATAGAGGACATTTCTTCATTTTTTGCGGACCATGCTGAAAAGATTGAAGTTATGAATCTCCCTTTCGCCGGCTCAACCTTGCGGTGTTGTCTGTGACACCACAGGCTTGGAGCCTTGTGGCCTTGCACAGAGATGAACTGCAAGGGGGCCATCTCACTCATCTCGCGTAATCCAAAGCGCTTCGAGAACCAGAATCGAATTCATAGTCCGGCCCTCGTGCAGCCTCTACCAACCATGGTTGAATCAAAAGCGACCTGTGAGGAATCATTGTTGCTTGATGTTTTCACCTTGGTTTTTGCCTCCGTATGAAGCCAGTTGCTTGAGATTCACATTGGATGATTTTGGCGTGGAAATTCGGCCTACATGGCAACAAGCGTCCGCGAACAATTATGCGCTGGCGGTGGCTGGCTGCGCTGGTCACGCTGATTGCGCTGCTTACGCTGGTTACGCTGGCTACATGCTTACTTTTTTAAAAGCTGTTTACGCTGAATACACTGGCTACGCTATTTACGCTACGCTGGTTGTGCTGATTACACTGGCAGACGCGGATTACGCTGGTTACGCTCTTTATGCGCTGTTTATGCTGTCTACGCTGAGTACACTGGATACGCTGGTTGCGCTGTTTGTGCTGGTTATGATGTCTACGCTGGTTACGCTGATTTCGCTGGTTACGCTGTTGCGCTGTTTACGCTCTTTATGCTGGTTACGCTGTTTACGCTGACTACATTGGTTACGCTGATTATGCTGTTTACGCTGTGGTTACGCTGTTTACGCTGACTACGCCGATTGCGCTGATTATGCCGATTACGCTGGTTACACTGTTTACGCTTGATAGGCTGGCGACGCTGTTTACCCTGTATGCGCTGGTATCGGTGTAAAGGGTGTAGCGGTGTAACCAGTCTAAACGGTGTAGACGGCGTAGGCGGTGTAACAGTGTAAACGGTGTATAACTGCGAAAACGGTGTACCGGTGTAAGCCATGTACCAGTGTGTACGGTGTAGACAATGTAAAATGTGTAAACAGTCTAGATGGTGTAGACGGTGTAAACGGTGTCAGCGGTCGCTCCCAGCCCCGTTGAAACCTCCAGGGCCAGGGTGTTTCGCTGTGGCGAGACTGAGGTTTTTGCCGTGGCCTCAGGACCATGCCAACAGGCCGTAGGCTGCTTTTTGCAGGTACCTGGGGCTCGTCTTACACTACTCTTTCTATGGGATTCAGAAGGCAACGTTAGACAGTGTCAGCGGTCGCTCTCAGCCCCGCTCTGTCTGCTGCGCAGGCTGGCATTTGATGGAAGAAAGCAGCGTACTTGCCACCTCGACGAAAAGGGGGTCGGCGGCATCAGGGCCGTAGCCCATTCTGTTTGCAAAAATCATTGAACTGGCGGGCAGTCATACTTTTGATACTGCATATGGCATACGTATTCCACTAGACAAATCCAAACACTTTAGCCTGCCAGACGAGCTCCAAGTTGTTGCTATCTGGATCAATTCTGCAAAGTTTTTGCAAATCTGCCTCTTCCGCCTCCGTGCAGGCGTCCGCAGCCAAGCTACATGTCTTCCCTGGGTCGAACTGCTCGAAGCAACCAAAGAGTTCCTGTACCTGCATCTGAACGGTGCGATGGAGATCTTTTCGCAACGTCACATGGAGTGGTTTTCTTGAAGTTCCAGGTTTTCACAGCAAGAAAACCACTGTTCCCACTGCTTCGGCATGGAGGCGGGCCCATGGACCCCGTGGGAACGGCGCCTGGGACTGGTCCAACTCGTTGAGGAGACGAGACGGTCTCCCTGTTTTGGTTGAGACCAGCGATAGACATAGACTGTTTGAGCAGGGAGACTTGGAGTAAAAATGATTGTGAAACAAACAAGTGCGTTTTACAGAATACACCCAGAAAAGAAGAGAATGATCATACTCAGAGGGTCAGTGTTTCAGTTTACACGCCAAGCACTAAACGACCACAACTGTCGGCACATCAACTATCTCAGGACGCCTGGTCTCTTGATGACCACTGAGCGATCTGGTCCTGTGCGGGAAAGCAGCAATCAACGCTTGTGTCCACCAAGTTGTGGGTGATCTGGGGCGAGCTTCGCACCACGAGTGATCCAAATCTCAGGCGATCCTGGTGGTGACATGTTGGCCAACAATTCTTTAAAAGGCTTGGGCATGTTTGGGTATGGTATGACGCAAAAATGAACTAAACCAACCGTGGATCATTTCTTTGGCCGGGCAAACTTGCAGTTCTTGAAAGGATGCCCAAACCATCCAGAAAGCATGCGGACGGAGCATATGGCACCCCAAGTTCTCCGGTGTCTCCTTCATGACCCTCTTCAACAATGGCAGCGTCAAGCTCTCCAAATTCCCAAGGTCCGCCATGACCTTGGAGACCTTCAGGTGAGATAGAAAGAAACCTTGGACTAAACGGTGGTTGAAACTTTCATTAAGCAGAGAAATATCAACAGGTTGTAAGAAACTTGTAAGTGATTTGACTCATGACGATTTTTCGATCGTGGGATATGCGATCTTCCAACCACAAACTTTGCAAAACTCAGCGGATCCATCAAAGCCATCCGCACCTCTGAGTCTGTGGGGTTCATCTGAGCCATCCGCATGGCGTCCCCCAAGTGCGAGGCCTTCATTACAGCTGAGTCTGTGGGCTCCTGCGGATTCTGCGGCGCTTCGTTGAAGAACGCGCAGAAAACGACGACGTGCGCTGAATGGATCAAAGCCGTGAAGGAGTAAAGTCATCGGTTTCGTCGGCAAAACAATAATGCAATCACGGCTGAGTCTGCTTCAGGCTTCTCGTGATCAGAGCTGATGGATCGCGCTACAAGGATCGCTGTCACAGGAACACCGAGTCTCACAACCAAGGCCATCCGTTCAATCCGTACCATATCAACGCACGTTCGGGCGATGTGCAGCCCTGGCCGATGTGTAAACCTGAGGAGTTCTCTTCCCCGGAAGCAACGGGTTTTTGAGACATGCTTTACTCCTACTGATGAGGTGTAGCTAATTGATGAGCAAGCTGCATGAGGCCATGGCTGTCCAACTTTAACTCAGAAGCTGACCTGTTGTACATGCTTCATGTGACCATACACTAAAGTTCTCAATTATCACTCAGGGACGTCCTGAAACATCTCAAAAATCTCCTTGATCCGGGCCTCAGTGCAGCACCAAGCAAAGGTTGAATAGCTGGGAAAGATTGGGGCAAGCTCAGAGCTCGGGTAACGGTATAGGCAACTGCCAAGGCACGTCAAACTCGTCCTCCTTCCACGGGTGTATGGATGCAGCCTTGAGCTGTTGGGACAGCGTTTAAGGGCTGAACACAAAGGAAAATCATGTAAACCAGCCTTGCCAAACAGCTTCAAACCAGCCATGCAAAACTTGATACTTTCCCCCCCTTTTGTTGCTTCTGCAGATCCCGCTCTGCTACAAGATGGTTTCCGTCTGGCACCAAGATGGGTGTTATTACCATGAGGGACAAAGGAGGAAACCGCTGGACGCTCCAATTGTGACTGAGGACACCAGGCCTACCCAAATGTTTCTCCCAATGCGTCCGCGTCAAACATCTAGCCATACTCATAGTCTGACCCATCAGACCCCAACGAAACACGCAAAGGATCGCTCGTGGAATTGCTGGAGGATCGCACTTCAGTCTACAGCAAAGTGATAAACTTCTCCCAACAAGCATCACTCTCGTCCCTAATAGCAATGGCCTCCAACCTAATAGCGATGGCCAACCGAATAGCAACTTCTCCCAACAAGCGTCACTCTGGTCATTCCCCCTCGACATGCTCTTCAACAACCTCACCAGCTACCAGGCCTTTGCAAGACGCACGCGGATTGCCTCACGCGCTCCAGATGTTGAGGACGGTCAAGATTGGTCGATGTGGCAGAGGGCCAACCACTTTCCGTCCTCGACCTCAATCCCCCTTGAAATCAAACACCTACAGTACATCCATCTGCCAGCAAACTGGTCTCATCTACTATCCCTGGTTGATTCCTGCTGGGTGGGAAGTCCCAATGGTTGGTGTGAGGGGCTAACGACTAGATAGAAAAAATACATTTAATAGAGATCTGTGGGAGCCAATCCAATGCGCAGGTTGGACGAGCTTCCGGCCTGCTCTCTTTGCCCTTGAATAGATCAACATATCCCAAGGATTTGCTCTACATGCTCAACTTGACCTTCCACCCTGGGGCAACCGGGCATCAAGTGTTTGAGGCTTAGATACTCTGAATGCCAAACATGCGGAGATCTGACGGAGAGATTCTTTAGAAAACCATGGCCAGAAAGACCCCCCGGAGTCTCATCAACTCATCAACTCATTGAGATTGTTGCTCTTTTTGAGGGTCCACCTGCCGTAAAGGCTTTAATATGACAAAAATGACAAGTGAATCACCTTCAATATTCCAACCGCTTCAATATGGCACAAATTGCTTCACTCTCTGATACCACAGCCTTAGTGATTTCTGCCCAATCGGATGTTCACCCGTCCAAATTCTCTCGAACCCACCTGCCTCATGAAGACACTGGCAGGTCGCTTGGTTCAAAAGCGCGACAAACTCATCCTTCTCCTGCAAAGTCATCCCATTGACCTGAAGGCGATACAGGGAATCGCACGTGACATAGCCAACGGTGATCAAACCCATCCAAGCTCTTGGCACAGTCTTCCCAAAGACTGTTTACTTAAACCAATGACTTCACAAACAGCACCACCAGTGAGTCTCCCCTATGTGGTGCCTCCGCGGCCATGCGCCTTACAGCACCACGCGGTGCACCTGGGAGTGGTGTTGCAGCCATGGCAGCCTCGGTTGAGGAATAGGTGGAGTTCATTGCCGAAAATCTACTTGGAAAGGCCCAGTCGATTGAGACTAGTAGCGATGGCCTCCAACCTAATTGCGATGGCCTCCACCCTAGTAGCGACCTTGCTTCTAGTAGTAATGCCCCCTTGTTACTAGAGAGCTTCAATGCCAAGGAACTTACCGCGCAAGTCTTTGGCCAGGCCTCATGAGCACTCAAGCCCCTGGAAGAGAAACAGGCGCGGCCTCCGCTTCGCAACAAGAACAAAACAGGCGGTAGAAGGTTTAGTTTGTGTTCTATTGAAATCATTGGAACGGTTTGAGAACACTCACAGTTCTGCCTGGTACCAAAGCATCGTTTGCAATGGGCGCTTCTCGTAAGTCTTGGACCACGCTGATCGATGCTGTCGGGCCATCGATCCACCACCACTCGTTTTCACAAATGGGTTTTGATGGCGATACACCGGCGAAACCCGCGTCGCCTCACTCGCCTCCACACCGGATCGGGCGCCACGCGGAGTGCAGGATGGCGCTATAGATCGGCTCACATGAGGTGAGACGCTGAAGCCTCTATGGGCTCGCGTGTGCGCGGGTGTGTGTATATATATCTTTGGTGATACATCTAACAGTGACCGTGAAATAGCTGCGGCGACTCTGAAACAACGCTGTTCAGCTTTGGTGAACACCAGAGGACTGGGTCCTTACACCATGAACAGTTGCGGCGATGCAAAGAGAGTGGTGCGCTGAGCAACATGTGTGCGGTTTTGTGCGAATGTGATGCCTTCACTGCGTCGCCGCTGCAACTGCAACTCGCTGCGGTATGCATCGCAATTCCCTCCCAGCCACCTCCAATACAAAAAATGGTGAGCTGCGCGAATGCCCATTTAAGGCCTTCAAAATTCTACATAGAAGCGTGAATCTGCCGCCCAATTTGACCAAGTAATCCTACAAACACCAACTGATCTGCGTGCGAAAAAAACCGCAGAGAGGTCCATGCCCTGCGGTTTTCGCACGATGATTTTTCACTCAGGGCATGTCCAGGTAGTAGTTCACGACGATGCTTGTATGACCTGCAAGAGAGGCAAGCAAATTGTCATGGATTGTGGCATCGACAAGACATGCGCAAATAAACTGCTTACTGCAACTGTGTGGGGTCAGCTGGACACAGCTGGGTGTGGATGAGGCTAGGTGGTTCTATGTCCTTTCGCTCACTTCACCATATCAGAAACCAAAACTGCCACTTCACAAAATCAAGCTTGGCCACATTTCAGACTGGAATAAGGAAACAGGTTGCACTACATGATACTGAAAATGTGGTGACGTCTTTAGTGTCCCTACCACACCTGGAAGAAACAACTTCAGGACACTTACTTTAGAGAGCAATGGTGCTAGAGATCCTGCATTGGCCCTTTGCTTTTCTAGCATGTTCTGTACGCTAACTGACACAAATTGAAGCATGAACCAGGGGTTGGGTGGTTCATGCTTCATCTTGTTCATCACAAAAATGTAATGGTGCTATTGATGCCGCATTAGCTGTTTGCTTTTCAATAATTTCCTGTACGCTAAGTGACATAACTTGAAGCGTAAACCGTATTTCACGCTTCAGCTTGTTCATCAAAAGCAGCAATGGTGTGAGTGATACTACATGTTTGGCATGTTTATGTCTATAGTCAAGATCTTTCAGACAAAGTGTCACTCCATTGGGGAAGCTATCTTGGGGGTAGAAAGACGACCATATCTGCGTGCCAATCGGTTTCCACTCTAGCTACATTCATAAGAGCTAATCTTCGGAGGCAAAAGCAAAAGCGAACAATTTTCTTGCAGAGTCCTTTGGGCATTAATGTTCGTTTCTCGCAGCGAACACTGCAAACGAAGGTTGCACGTTTTACCCCACATCTCCGACCAAACGTTGCAGGTTGCTTTGATTGCTTACAAACAAAGGAAGGAAGCGCAAGACACTAACTGCCACCAATGACTAAGCCCTTTTCTCACATGTTCTGGCCCAGCAAGGCACCATACTCAATAGTCTGGCTTTGCGACGTAGATTCTGGAGTCCTAAGGGTTCTCATCAAAAACATGAAAATAATGGAAAATAACACTCCAACTCCGAAACCCAAAAGGTATCCTGATCTCATTTCAGAAGATATCTCAAAGACATAAAGCATTGCAACAAGCTTGGCAAAGCATCCAAAGGACTTCCACTGCTTCCACCGAAGCGGATCAATCGATGTTGAAAATAAGCGGACAATGAGCAGATTTGGGGGTTAGGGTGCGCCGTTTGGCTTTGAGATGCTTTGAGGCATGCCCTCGCAAGCTTTCTAGGCCTCTAAACCAAGTTCTTGATCTCAAGACCTCTGGATCAATGCCTCGGGGATCACCATGCTACAGGTCCTACAGATTGTTTGCCATAGGGGTGTTTCAGTAGATCTAAACTACTGAATTTACACCCTTGGTCAAAAGAATCAGCAGGAACACTTAGGTCAAAACAGGGTTTAGGGGTGAGTTCGACTCCGCCGCGGTGCCTTTCGATTCGTGGAGTAGATCAAGTGCATATATAGATGGTTGGCACCGTCCTTTTCCAAATACGATTCAAGAGGTGGCGCCCATATTACCCAGTCCCATATCACTCGTGTCTGGTCATCGCTGTTCGCACCTCGTAGCCATCGATGCGGGGCACTTCCGCCAGCGATCGGGTTTCAAAGAGATCTCCACCTGCGAGAGGCCCAAGTGAGAGCGCCAAGCGGGGAAGGCAAACGAGGCGAAGCAAACAAACAGGATGTGGAGTGAGTGCCTCCGAAGGGTTTTTCAGGGCTTCGTTTGGGGTCCGTCCAACCCACCACCAAACGTAGGTTTTTGCGCAGGGCATCTACCTGTGACAATAACGACTTCTTCCATGATCTCTACTCTCTTTCTGCTTGAACTGTCTTGAACTGCAGTAAAACCAATGACTCCACAAGCGGCACCACCAGTGAGTCCTCCGTCGCAACACCCCAAGTGGGAAATGCCACCACACACCCTCTCCAAACGAAAATCGTCACCTGTCTATTCCAACCGAATAATCTTCAGGTCTCCTCCACATGTCACCCAGACCCACCAAGGACCTCCGCGGCCATGCGCTGTTTACGGCACACGGCGCACCGCGCGGTGCACCGGTGCAGTGGCGCTGCAGCCATGGCAGCCTCGGTGGCGGAATAGGTGGAGTTCTCGAATCTGGTATGAGTCAAATCATTCAAAGGATTATGTGAGCGAGTTACCATTGCCTTAGGGTCCTTTCATATATCTCTAACTGGAGGATGAGACAGGAAAAATCCCCACATCCAAATCCAAATCCAATCAAAATCCACCCAACTCGCCTTGCTGGCACTCATCTCAATACCTCTCCGCTTTGCCCAGTCCCGCGATGTCCCACGTCCGGGTCTGGGAGATCACGGCAGCCGAAGTGGATGCGCTCCTGCACAACGTCTTTGTTGTGACAACGTCAGTGTCATTGGATCTCTCTGTGAGGCACCAGTGATGGATGGGTGTCTTTGGACCCCGGAGACCTTTTCGTTCGGCAACGACCGGGGCCAACGGGGGTTCATCCGTGGAAGACCACACACCTCCGTCCCTCCGTGAAGACTAGTCTCACCACTCCTCCGTTCGAAAATCCGATCGACAGCTGTCAGATGACCAATCTGGTCCAATCTGTAGAGAGTTCATGTGTCTCATGCACAGAGAAAACGCCTGGACTAGCATATACCGATGAGTTGGGGTGGTTGCCCCGCCGTCAAATGTGGGCCTAAGGATTACACTGAGTGTCTGGGTCATGTAGACTGGTTGATAAGTGTCTGGCCACAGGATCCAGAATGGCTTTACATTTCTAGGCCTGGAGGGTTTTATGAATCAAACGTCTTTAGATTTTCCATACAGCCAGTAAAACTATAGGTGTCTTTCTTGTTTATGTTCGAGTTGACTAAATCCAACTTTCATCAGAAATCCAGCCAACCGTCCCGGACAGAGCAAAACCGAAGTTGCGGCTTTCGAAAATGAGGATGTCATGTTCGCAGACTATGGCAGCTTTGGTTCCTGGAGCCTTTTTTCATTCATTCATTCCTTCATACATACCTTACCTTACCTCACCTCACCTTTCATTACATTACACAATGCGAGGAATTGCGTCGGTCCCGAAAGCTACCTTAGATCCAGGAAGGGGGTTGAAGCCACGTGACCTGGGAAAGGTTTCCGCCTTTATGACGTTTGATTTGAGGACAAAGGGTGCGAGAGCAACGTCAGCACTCCATTTTGACATTGTTTTTTGAAGGGTTTCGCTTGGACTCTATCTTGTTTCGTTGTGTTTCGGCTGGAATCGTTTTGGCCCAAATGGAATCGCATTTGAGATTGAGTACGTACGGATGGAACGGAACAAGACCTGAAGATGCCTAAGTAACCAAAAGGCCTAAATCCACAGGCGCGCGTACAAGTAACATAATTTGAGAGCTTCAAATGTTCCACCATTTGAACAGCTCTAGACCCTCGAGGTCAAGAGTGTCCAAGTGCAAACGCGAAACCAAACCTCACGAAAGTCAAGAAAAGCGTGACTGCAGACATACCTCCACCTGACCAGCCTAGACTTTAGTGAGGGATGTATCTACAAACTACAAACGCCACAACCGGACCGCAGGTATGTCCAGCAGGCTCCTCTCCGGATATCACGGCAGTGCGCTCCAGGAGCGTCTTCGTTGAGTGGTGAGTGATGACTCCAAGACTGCGCACTCCCCAACAATCCAAGACTGCGTGCCCCCAAGACTGAGTGGTTTAAAGACCCTTTGTTCAACAAGCATCCACTCGCTTGCGCCATGCGGCAGACTCCAATCTATATCAGACTCCGTGTTTGACCAGCTTCAGGAATCGGGACCGCCCCACAACATGCGACAAGCACAGGGATTTGTGACAGGAGGACACATCGCATGCCCTGGGACGGCGGAGCGATTCCCTGCTTCTCAACATCTCAGTTCTTCATTCAGAAAGGCCCAGTAGGCCAGCACAAGTGGAGCTCCAGCTCAAGTGTCCTGAACGTCGCCAGCGCGCCAGGCTAACGCCCTCCATCGCCCTCCCCTCCTCAGCCACGGGCGTGTTTCCGTCGGAATCGCTTCAGCCGTCGCCGGCTGCGGCGCGTCTTCTCGTCGTCAGGGCCGTGGAGCTCCTGCCGAGGGCGCCCGGTGAAGGCCCGAGCGCTGGGAGTCCTTGGCCTGGATGGTTTTACAAAAAGAAAAGAAAAAAACATGGATTTGATGCGGCCATCGCTGGTAGGTTGGAGGCCATCGCAAAAACCTCCTATCCTGTCAGGATGCCTCAAAGGCTGGCTTAGAACAAAGAGATTGCACGGCTCAACCTTGATTGTGTTGAGTGTTCTTTCCCTGCAGGCCAAAATGAGCAAAAACTGCGGCTCCAAAATAGAACCTCTGAGGTAGCTCGGTAGCTCACAACTATCAGATTGAAAACAAAACGGCACTACTCGAGTTACTTGAGTAAACATTGACAGCTCCAATGAATGTTGTTTTTATGTGCATCTTCATCTACTGAACCTGCTCTTGAAGCAATCCAACTGCCAACATTGCCAACTCCAACTGCGTAGCACAAGCAACTGATCGTCTCACCTCCAAAACCTGGTTTAAAAGCGCTCTGAGACGAGTGAACATTGTGTCGAGTGACTAAGCTAGCATTCCGTGAATGGACACAAAATGAGTCGAGTGAACCTTTCACAGCATTTAGGCAGGCACATCCATTCTGAGTAAACGTCCATTCTCATCTCCCCTCTAACCGGGAACCGCTTCCGCTGAACCGATCGGGGCCTCCAGGCCCTGGAACTCCCTGACATAGAGCTCTTCCGCCTGGACAGAGGTCACCCAAAGGCATGCGGCATACGGCATGATTCTTTTGTTGAACTCCCCATGAACATCCTGAGTGAAGAGTCAAATGAAGCCGTAATGAGTCAATGAATTGACGCATCCTGCCGCCGACTTTTCTAGGTTGCTGTGTTCTCCTTTGCAGGTGCCTTTCAAACAGCTGTTTCTTCAATGGCCATGACACCTTGGGGGCTTTGTTCTGCATTGAAAGCAATGAACCCACTACCATAAGTGAGTGGACATGGCTGCGAAGGACATAACAATAACAAGACGTCACATGTCAAACTTGTAAGTCTGGGAGCTTCCGATAGAGAAGGAGAGAGAGAGAGAGAGAGTTATATCACCCCACATTGGGGCGTTAAACGCAAATTTTGCATTCCAGCCTCTAATGGGAAGGTGAAGAACAAATACCGCAACTTGAACATGTGTTTGACCCCCCTTTTCCCAAAAGAAGGGTGCCAAAAATGCAGAGGTTGATTTTGTGGCTTACAAACTACCTGCATATAGCAGAAAAAGGAACAAAAAGCACACCAACAAACCACTGGGACAAATGCAAATATATACTCTGACGTTTTTGAAACAGATCACCAGAATATCACATATGACTGGTTCTTCTCAAAGTCCCAAAACGGCTCAGAAGACCTGAAACCAAGAGTGTGGGCGTCAAAAAAGTGCCTCACCATGTGGCGTCGAGAGTACGGACCTCACATCTGTCGGCTAAAAAGGCGCAAAACGTGACTTCGAAAACATCAACAAATAACTACTAGGAACAAGGACGCTACTAGGAGCAAAGGGCATCGCTACTAG